AAGACCAAAACATACCAAATATATATATATATTATGAGGTAGTTAATAGTAGGTCGAGTAGAAAGTTTCTTTGAAGGGTTATGTCAAGGACGCCTATATATTCCAACAATTGAGGAATTAAGGAATGGGATATTGTTGGAGGCTCACAACTCACATTTTTTATGCACCCAAGCGGTACAGAAAATCACAGTGTCCTTGAGATTCGGGCGTAAGGGTAAACTTGAAGAACACTAAATTTCTTAGATCTTGGAAAATCATGTCGTGATAATTGTATATTTATTTTACCTTTATTTGAGTTATCAGACGTGGGATTTGAACCCACGCCCTCTGATCCCGCATCGGTTTGAGAAGAGAATGAAGAATAACTTATGAGTATTTGTAAACGTCTCTCTAGTAGCGTGTTGTAGAACTGTGATTCTGACAACGATTTGTTATGGGAAACAATGGACAATATTTTTTAGTGGCTGGAAATGGGAACGAAGCATTCCTTAGAAGAGTGTGGAAATCTCTCCCTAATAGACTCGTTTTAGAATTGTGAGACTGATGACGATACGTAATGGGCAAAAATGGACAATATTTGTTTGCGGTGGGTTTCGGCTATTACAAAAGCTATCAAAGTTAGTCATCGACTATTACAAAAGCTATCAAAGTTAGTCATCGGCTATTACAAAAGCTATCAAAGTTAGTCACAAAGTGGTGTGCTAGCGAAGACGCTGGCCCCCAAGGAGAGTGGATTGTGAGATCCAACATTGGTTGGAGAGGAGATGAAACATTCCTTATAAGGGTGTGGTGGGCTTGAACTATTACAAATAATTACCTGGAATAGCACAGTTAGTTAGAGTGTGTGGCTGATAACCACAAGGTCGAAGGTTCAAACCCTCCTTCTAGTGCTGGGAATAAGCTTACCATGAATTGAAGGTAAATTAGAGGTGACTTGTTTGATTAATTGTGAGCTCAGCAGCGGCGCATGCCTAGTGATGATGGTTACAAGTGTCATACCTTTTGATTGTTATATTTGCTTATTATGTTATGACTTGTTGTAACCCCTTCATGATTAGTACGGACAAGCCTTGTGCTACTTCTATTTTAGGTAAGGGCTAGAAACCCCTATACAATTGACGAGGACATCACAAATAGAGATAATGACACGTGCATAGAATAATTGTATTTAATTTTCTTAGGCATAGGTTAGTATAGGGCATTTTTTCTTTGATGTTTTAATGGTTTTAGTTACTATTTCTTTATGTTGTTTTAAAGATGCTTTCAAATGAGTAAGTCCATGACACTATTTTAAGATGAAGTTTAAATGCTTAATTTCGTATAAGAGCATAGGATATGATGACGGTGGCAACTTTAGGCTAATAGAAATCTAGGGTCGTTACCGTTGGTATCAGAGCTCTAGGTTATAGATTCGGTAGACTTGCCTACGAGATAGGCTTGCCACGTTCCATGATTTCACCATCGATGTCCTAGCACCAACAGGTATGTCTGGTATAAGATAAGATAAAGAAATGTCTTTAATTTGCATGTACTTTTTTTTGTTTACTAATATTGAATGTAATTTAGTATCAAATATGTGAAGCTCTAACTATATGATTTATGGAAGCATTATGTTCTACCTAGTTGTACTTTTATGAATATGTCATGTTTACTAAATTATATGTTGTGATTATACGTGATATGATGCAATTTATGTTAGAGAGATATAGACTTCAGAAATTATATATTGGTTTTAGCATCATGCCACATAAAGGACACTAAAAAGAACGACGAGGAAGGAGATTACCCTGTATTAGAGGTAGAGGAAAAGGTGGAGGTGAAGATAGCCCACCTCGTGAAGGTTTAGTGACTAGGGCGGACGCACCTTAAGTTGTGCTACCTTAGGCTGCACACCTTCAGTAGCACCAATAACTCAAATAAATCCCACTACAAGCCTATGTGAGAATCATTTCAGACAATACAATGATGCCCACTCAACAAGCCAATAGGGTGTGGAAAGGGGAATGAATCCAACAAGCCAATAGGCCATCCTAACTGCTTATTGTTATACGTAAGAATTACTATTTTCATTGGTGTGATGTCTAGGGTGTGTTGCCTTTTACAGAACCAAAAGTAAAACAATTAGAACTTATTTTTGAACATGGACAATATTATACTATTATGGAGGTTCGTGATTTCTAATCATCAAGCATTCTTGATGAGATTTCATGGGTAAGATTATCCATCATTTTCTATTGAATCAAAACCCTTGAATTGAGTTATAATGTTTTAATAATTTTCAGTGAATTATAATTTTTTAGTTCATTTTCAGGGTATCTTTGAGTTTTCTAACGTTGTTACTTAGTCTTAATCAAGCATTCTCGATTAGATTTCATAGGTAATATTATGGTCCAACCTTTTCTATTGGATCAAAACCCTTGAATTGAGTTATAATGTTTTAGTAATTTTTAGGGGTAGCTTCGGGTCGTTGAAATAAAATGTAAATGCAACTTTGAGCCTAATTGATTTTAGGTTTCCCTTTTAAGGTGTTTGAAGTATATTGACAGTACCTATATTGCTCTCTGAGTGTTAAACATAAATTGAAGCTTATTTTTTATTTGGGCATACCCCAAATGTGTTGTTTTATGTCCTAAAACTCATAGTTTGTAAACAAAAACATATTATGTTTTCAATAAAGTTATTATTGATGTTTATTTAGTAAAGATTGCTATTGAATAAAGTGAATGTTACGATCATTAATCTAAATCCAATAAACTAAGAAAACTCTGGCTATAGTATGATTACTTGAACTATATGTAGAGACACAAGAGTGGATCAAGTTCAAGTATATAGTCAAAATGGTTTATAGTACCGGGATAAGGCTGAGTACCTTATTTTGGGGACACTATGGATGCGACCCACTTTTGTATATGATATAAACAATGTGATCACTAAATTGTACATCTGGAGACATGTGAGTGGGAGCGTCCTATGCAATGAGTATTGCATAAGATCGGACCATGAAGAAAACCTTTCTCACTTTATAATGTCGTTTACTATTGAGACTGATTTTTTCATTTATGACCTAGGTAACTCGATCTTAATCCTGAGCTAACTATGAACTTCTATTTATTCGAAATTATCCTTAGATTTGCATGGGTGAGAGTGGCCCGAGTTCGTCGACTCAATAAGCCTCCCATTTTAAGGGTAAGACTTGGTGAATAGTTGAGGACATAGGGTGTATGATGGAATTCACACCTACCCACTTTTAGGGATAGTAGAGAGGTTGTTCCCTTAAGTACTGACTCCAAGTCTTGAACAAGGAGTCGCACCCTCTCATTGGCCTGAGAGGGATTCGGTTTGGTGGTTGAACCACAAACCAATTGTTCATTAGAGGATCCGTGGGACTTAAGGAACAAAAAGTAACTTTAGGGGTAAAACTGTAAATTGACCCAGCTTTAGTTACGATCAACCTGTGAAGGATCGACTTACTAATTATGGTTATATCAAATGGACAGAAATATATCTATAGTGAGGGGAGTGCAACAACTAGGCTACAATGGAGTGTCCTAGTAGTGAACGAATGTTCGTTAACAAGGTTAATGAGTTTAGCCGGTTAATCTCGGATCGTTGGAGCCCATGAGATGTAGGTTCATTAGGTCCCTCTACTAGCTCATATCGAACTAAACCTTAGAATAGTGTGACGAGTGAGTTCGAAGGTTTCGAATTAGAATTACGGAATACACGCTAAATATATACGATATATTTAACCTCATTTTTTTAGTTATGAATTGAACAAAAAGAGAGAATTTGAGATATTTAAATAAGATTTAAATATTTTAATTATGAATAGTGATAGATAATCAATATGTGTTGGAATTAATTGGAATTGACATTTTATTTAATGTTAAATATTAATTAAATTGTTTAATTAATCATTTAATATTATTTTGATTTGAAATTAATTGTTGAATTAAAATAAAGAAAGTCAAATGAAAAAATCCATGTTTGAGTTAATGGAATATTGAGGGTCAATATATGGTTTAACCAAACTTGCATGTTTGCCACATAATCCCACAAATTTTAGTGAAATTTTGAGTGTCAAAACTTGGTTTAACCAAGCATGCATGTTTTCGGGATACACCCCACAAATTTGAGTGGAATTTGGAGTGTCAAAATTTGGTTAACTCAAACTTGCATGCTTGCCACATAATCTCACAAATTAGAGTGGAATTTTGAGTGCCAAAATTTGGTAATCTCAAATTTGCATGAACATGCAAATATGACTCTATAAATAGAGTGATCAATGTACATGGAAATTCTTCTTCAAAAACTTTGAAAAAATCTCTCAAAACTCTCTCTTTACTTATACTAAATTTCTATCAAGTTTCATCACTCACCGGATTCCACAATCCTGTTCTAAGGTCGGAGAATAGTAGGAAAGACACTAGTGGTGGTTCGAAACCATTCATTTGGAAAAATGAATTTGAACTACAAAAGGTCAGTATTCAAACTCATTAAGTTTCAATGCTTTTGAACATGCTAGCTAATTTACTATAATTGATGTACTTAGAGTGCCTAAGATCCAAATTGCTTCCGCACGTGTTATAGTAACACCATCAAAATGAACCTAAACTTATAACATAATTTATGAACAAAGGAAACAAAAATATATTTAAAAAGAGAGAAAACCCAAAAAGTTGCAAATGGATAGCCATTCACCGCGAGAAAAACATAAAAAATGGAAGAAAGAGGGTGCCAATGAAGGAGTAGGGAAGCAAATGGGGAAGAAGAAATATAAGGGAGATCGGGGGCTTTGGGGCTTCAAAGCTAGATTATGGCGGGCAAAAATATCTCTAGATGCACTAAATTTTGTCACGTAACATACATACACAATAGGCAAGCGTCGGAAATGCTATCAAGGTCTTTCAATGCTTGTCAATTTAGTTGACCTTGTCCATAATATTTTGTGCTTTCAGAGAGATATTTCTTCTAACCATGGTAAACCAAATATTGATTCTCATTTTTGCTGCATTTCCATTTATCGTAAAACAAATTATCGGAAGATTTAAAATATGAGTATTGTAGTCTATCCTTTGGTATATATGATGTTACATGCTGCTAAAGAAATTAGTAGACGGATAGTAATTGATTGAGAGTGAGTCTTACATACTAGTCCTAAAATTCTAAATAACCATATAGAAGTAACCTAAGGAGAGGTAGTTGAAATATCTTACTAACTTACAAATGATCTAAGTAAAAGAAACTAGGAATTAACTGAGAATAAAACTTAAGAACAACTAGAATGATAAGTAATAAACTTGTGAATGACAAGTTAGCTATTTATTAAGTAAATTAATTACTTATCAAGATTATTTTAACTTTTTTGGCCAAATAAGAAGTTGCAGGCCAATCGAGGATGAGACCAGCAGGCTCGAGACAACAAGGAACCCTTTTCTGAGTCTGTTTTAAGTACATGTGCTTTTGTTGTTGAAAACTTACTTTGATATTTTGTGTTGTAAAATATACTTGATTCACATGTTTTACTTGTCATGTATGTTTTTTTTTTTTTTTTGTATGACCGAGTTTCAAAGAAAAATATCTATGTTAGTGGTAACTCATGTGAATCGAGCTGTCGATGAACATGTGATGTAGAAGCATTGCTCGAGAACTATGCAGTAACAGCGGGGATCGTCCCAAGGCATCCAGTCGTGTCTGTTTATTTTGGATTTCTACATTTAGTTTTAAATTGTTTGTTGACTATTGGTCAAGATAAGAAGCGCTGCTCGAGAACTATGAGATCACAGAGGGTGTCATCCTAAGGAATCCAGTCGTCTGTTTATTTTAAATTTTTACGTTTCTTTTTTAGTTGTTTGTTGGTGGTCGATCGAGGTAAGAAGGTGTAACACCC